AAATTCATACAGCGTCTAGCAAAGTTCTTATGCACACAAGTTATAAATTTTCTTACAGTTCTAGTACATCCTAAAAGTATTAAATATAATAAAGCAAATGCTGTTAATAAACATCTTAGTTATAAAGCTAAAAACTACATCATATCTGTAACCTCCCCCCGTAAAGAATATAGAATAAACCTTTGAAGAAATAGTTTTATTAAATATACATAGAGACCAGATTTACAAATAAGTTTATATAGAATACTGAGTATCAGTTACTTTGAATTTCTGTACTTTAATATGTAAAGTATTTTTATAATATGCTAAATATGTGATCAGCAATTATTAGTAGGATACAGTTCATGTGACATTTCCCCTGATCGCTAAATCAGATATTTCTTTACAATTGAAATCAATCAGAAACACTAAGCTGATATATGAAATTTTATATAAGTGATTAAAACACTATTGATATCGAATTTGACTTTCTAAAGAGTATACATACAAGCCATCACCTATCAAAGTGACCAAGTGTGATGACGTGAATATAAAATTATCATCATATTTTTTATAGATCGTGAGGTATCTAAGTGTGACGATGTGAATACAAATTTGTCATCATATTTTTTATAGGTCGTGGGTATCCAAATGTGATGACATGAACATAAATTTGTCATCATATTTTTTATAGATCATGAGTACCTAAGTGTGACGACAAACTCGTGAACTAATCATCACTTGAATGATGATGTACATGTGATCTTATCGTCACATCTGAATGTGAATAACCTAGACTAAGTGAAAATAACATAATTATGTTATTTCCACTACATAAATAAAGAAATGTTTCAAGTTTTTCATATAATTTTTATAATTTCATAATTTGTTACAAATTAAAAAATTAATAAATTTTATAATATAATTGTAATAGTATACAAATCAATTTTACAAAATCGAAGTCATTTAAATAATTGCGCCACTATTTTTGTAGTAATTAGCTATTGGAAAATTGAATTATAGTTCACGTGATTTAGCCAGAATAACGAAGATTGTCGGATCACATCGATTGAATAGGAAATGATAGTCTATCACGTGATCGAGAAAATTTTCTGCCACGACTAGTCTACTAATTTAATATAATCCCAGCCTCGTAGAACGCGAAATTTTTGGTAGGTTTTTTAAGTTTTTTTATTTTAAAGAATTTTTTACTAAAACATTCGTTTTTCTTTTACCACCACCACCCGCAATTTCACCATTTACACTTTAATCACTACCACTTCCACCACTACACTCCCCCATTATCACCGTCGCATTTCTCTCAGCAATGGCTCCAACTCCAACATCTCATTCTCTCCATACGCACCAGAACTAAAAAAAATTAATTTCCTATTTTGTGCCTTTACAATCGACATCTTCATTGTTCTTTAATTAAATGATAACGATAATAGAAAATAGACTACGTATTAACAAATGCATGCAGCACATGTGTTACACGTGATAAGTGATCGAGCCAGAAGACAACCTATCGCTAATCTGCAAGTTGATTCATGGAACAAGTTGCAAAATTAAAAGATTCAAGCATTTCAGGAGCTCGATCGTGTTCGTGTCCGTTCTCTTTTGCCTTTTGATGCCACTTCAATGTCAAGTCGAGAGTTTTTTCAACGCCTATTCCAAGATTAAACCGAGCTTTGTTATGTCCCGACTCTGCTGCTTTTAAAATACTTTAATATCATTCTTTTCTGTTCCTTCTCCATATTTATAACATGAACCAATGTTCTTCCAATTATTTCGTAAGTAAATTTATTTCATAACCAGAGTGAGCATATTTTAAATCGATTTCTAATGCTCTGTCTTCATCTTTTTTTTATGTCTATTCCAAGTTCGTAACATCTGGCAGTTTGAAATTGAGCGAAAGTTTCTACTGACTCTGCTGTTTTCAAATACCACGCAATTGCTTTTAACTGTTCTTTGTCCGTTTTTACAACAGGTGGTAAGATTATATTGTGTTTCAGGTTCTCCAGACTGCAGCTGTTTTTTTAATTCTTCCTTGTAACAGATGGAAAGATTATATTACACTTCAGGATCTTCGATATCCTAAGTAGGCGTGATGAAAAAATATCAGCATATTATTGTTTAGGTGTAGTTCATTGTGTAGTAAAAATACGAGTTTTGCTGAAAAATGTAATAAATATGATATTCAAGAGCCAATATATCGACAACGTGGCAGTTTCGGATCGCGACGGCATATTTTAGTGTTTGAAGTACTCGGCGATGCGTTGGCGAGCGATGGTTTTTGATGGACGTTCATTTCTTCTCCTATTCATTTCTGTTATTCTTTCGCTGCGTCGGACAGGCCCTCTTCGCGCTGCTCGCGTACGAAGAGACGTAGCGTGTTGTGGTCGTGGTTGTTGTAGTGCTAGTGGTTGCGCTTGAGTTGATAGCTGTGGTGGTAGTTGTTGTGTTTGTTGTGGTTGGGATGATAGAATAAAATGTGGCGATAGTGAAGACACGACTATTTGACGTGCTTCTCTGTATGAAGTTCCAAAATTCACTGCAAATTCAGCCCACGAAGGATCATAAAAAGCCTCTTCGCGCCTGAGAGATGGATAATTGCTGTTGCTGTTGTTGTTATTGTTATCGTTGTTATTAAACGCCATTGCTGGAATGCTGCTTATTTTGGAAAAATAAAACAGTTGATTGTTTAGATTTGTTGTTAAATTTTTCAAATCCCAACCCCTTTTTATGTATAATCATCCCTCCATATAATCACATCATATACAGTCACGCCTTACTAAGCATACCACCATATAATCACAACCTCTTTAAATCACCTTGGTGCAACATATTGTATCATAGGGTTTCTAGCACCCTAGTCATGGCAGATGCCGACCATCCGATATCCCCTTAAAATTATGCATAAGATCAAAACAAACGCTTACTTTTGAAAAAAAAAGCTTATGGAAAAATTTTTTGTGTTCTAACAAAAAATGTCACTTGCGAAATTTTACTACAGTATGTTCCTGTTTGTCATATAACCTTAATTCTAACTCTACCCTAACCGAAACTCTATTCAATATTATAATTAAGGGTAATGTTGGATGGTTGGTGTCGGGTCGGCATCGCATAAATCGCTTGACAAATGTAGAAGTGAACGATGGACTTCCACACATGGGACGAGTGCAATAAAACGGGGGAATTTTTGATTGGATTATGTTCGTATTTTCACAGCATTTACCCACACATAAATCATAGTTTTCTTTTAATAAAACTGTCATAACGATAATCACTAGTGAATACCCATGAGTGTTCAGTTCACAATACTCATGATTGTAGTAAATGTATCAGACGTCAAGGAAATGAGGACTGTTATTCATGCTCTCTATATCACAAACGAATTTATTAAGCTGAATGGTTGAGCGGAAATAAAGATATCGACTGTCTAGTAAAAGAATGAAAAGAATGCATGCAAATAAATAGATTAAAGATTTACCAATGTTGAATATCTCGCAAAAGGAGGTTTTGGATCAATTTATTTAGCAACCTGGCCTGACTGGCCTGGTTGGGAGAAAATAAATTTAAAGCATAAGTATATTTCACTGTAATGAACTTTCTCAAAATTAGCTTCAGACTGCTGGATATATTAGTTATCATGGAATAACTAAAACCCAGCTACAAATGTACTCGATTATGCAAGAAATGGTCTACGCGAACATATTAAATACGAAGAATTGAATTGGGAAAAAATTAAAATATTTAATTGATATTTTAATGGACTGAAGAGAATTCACGAAAATGAATTTGTGATTCGTGACTTCACCCTGGCTCAAACCAGCAGATATAGAAAAATCCAATCGAGATATTTATGGAATACTTCCTTATATGAGCCCAGAGATACTAAATGGAACACTATACACTAAAGCTGCAGATATTTATAGTTTGAAATGATTACGTACGAGGTTGCCACAGGTAACAAAAGCTTTATTATTTGGAGAAGTCCATAAATTAAGAGTAAAAGAAATTTTTGAGTCAATTGACCATTTGGTGAACGAAGTCATAATATACACCTTGTGTGCGACATCTATAATGGAGTACGATCTGGGATACCAAATAAATGTTTCTGGATGGTGTAAATTTATTATTGAAAAGTTATTCCAGAAAATAGTTCAACTGTTGAGGAACTCTACTCGATCAAATATATCGACATCGATGAAGGGTGAAAACCGAATACTTTGCCTTTTCAGTACTACAGCTCTTTAGAGGATGTAAAATTAAAAAGTGTCTTAACTTATAAATGCAGAACTTGACGAGATGAAATTGCAGCAGCATGCCTATAAATACAAACAAGAAACAAAATGCTGTTTAAATCTTTACTTCAAAATTCCAAATGATAAAGGTGTATTTTATTATTAAATATAAATCACGTTGAAAAATATTAGATGTTTGTATGTTCAAAACGAAGGTAAAATTGCATTATATTAAAATATTTGTTTGCATACAACTCTAGAATATGATACCACTAAATATGATATACAGTTGATATTGATGCAAAATCTACAAGTCTCAGTTTATATGTTCAAACGAAGCAAATGAGGTAATTTCTTTTGTTTTATAATGTTATAATATGTCTCACAAGTGTTTGATATTGAAAATGGCCAATTCAAATTTAAGCTCAAAAAAATTAACTGTGCGAACACAACGTACGTTTTTTTCATTAATAGTGAGAGAGTCTCAATCTTTGAGTTTTCAATAAACTAGATCATAAAATGAACAATAATTAAAAGTGTAATAAGTTAATTAAAAATGTAAAAAGTGTGAAAACACTAATTTTCTATGATTATCAAAATTAAATTAATGTTAGAAATTAAGTAAAAATTATGAAATTAACGAATTTAATGTTACTACTGTAACGGTACGCACTATGCATTGTACGTATGCACTACGCACTATACGAGTACATGTATATAATAACGATAATGATTTTTGCAATCAATCACATAATACGCAGCACCATACATGAATAGACAATTACACGATCTGTTTCATTGTACATGTACATATACATGTATTTTCTTTTTTTAAGTCTAAAGTGTTGTCATTATAATGACTACGTAATAAACTTCTAAGAAATAGGCACCTGTCTGTAAAAAATACGGAAAGACGTATACGAAAAAGTATGTTACATTCAGATGTCCATAAAAGTCGCTTTTTCATAGACGAAAATTGCATACCAATTAGGGAAAGATTTACCACGTAATTTCTATATGTGGCAGATACATGTACATGTATATGATTCTAATGAGAAAATTTATCACGATATTTAGAACCTAAATATTCAAATAATATGAAATATCAATATTAGATATCACGCATACCTGTATTATTTGAAATTGAATTTTTTGTTCAATTTTCACTTCAAAGAGATATTAGTGACATACAAGAAAAACTACAAATTCATGGTGAAACACTTCCAATAAAATAGGAAGCAACTCTTATAAATTAGCAATAACGATAAAAAATTATAATTATTTAAAAAGTTTCTATTATTTATTAACTATTTATTTATTAGCTTTCTCTTTATACATATAACATGTTTTTTCCTTGATCCTCGTACCAATGATTGATGATATATTTTATTCAATTATGTAATTTACATTTAACCAATATTAGCATTATCAGATTTAAAAATGTTCTTGAGCCATATAGGAAATTTACGGTTTTATATATATATCTCGACCTAAATTTATTTAGAACCATTTAGGTTTGGGTCTTAGGCTGTTTAGGCCGAATCACTAAAACACTACATTATGTATTTATTGTGTCATTGAGTAGACAACGCAATATCGCATTGTCGAAGCATATTCAATGCTTTATTGTTTTACCATAAAAGGCATGGTGTGCGCATAATGATATAGATAAAGACATTTTTATTGCCTATTGTAATGAAAAAATTATACGTATTTAGTCCCTGTTTTTTGGTAATTTGCGGTTTTTCAAAAAATTTTTGCTCTATTTTTTTGCCACTTCTTTTCACAACGAACTTTAATCAATCTATAACATATTCTTTAACTGAGATGTCTATTTATGAAAATGAATCAAATAACCTCGTCGTGGTCAAAGATGAAAGACCAAAGAAACCACAGAAAACTTCTATTGATTTAAACTCGAAAAATAATTTTTTATTAACTACTACGACCAACAATCTTACAAATATTGGCCATAATAATGATGATAACAAGGAATGCAAAAAAATTACGATAAACGAACTACCAAATGAACTTTTGTCAATGATAATTCATAATCTAAGTAGCAATAACACTTCAAATGATAATTCAGCCCGTCATTTATGGTCGTTACGTCGAGTTAGCCATCGTTTTAAATATATTATTCATCAAGTCGTTTACGAAAAAGTAAAATACCTGTTAACCCATTCTGCACCGACCACTTTGCAGCTTTTTCTTTGCCAAATCACCGGATGTGCCATAACATATTCAGATCCGATTCGCGTCCACGTAACCGGATACAATAAGGAAACGGGTGAAGTGATGCTCGGGTGTCAACGGAGTCGGCATTTTCTGCGCGTAAACAAAAAAACCAAACTTTTTTTGGCGGTGAGGAAGAAAACGCCTGTTATAATGCCGAAAAATAAGAACAATGGTAAAAACGGTATTAATAGTGAAAATCTTACATTTCGAAATGAGGAATGTAAAGAACCGCTACGCGATGGAAAACACGCGATTCACAAAGAAAATTCCTTCAAAGTTGAATATGAGCTCGTGAGAAATTGTAGTAGTAACGCGAGAGAATCTTTTGAAAAGAGTTTTTTGGTTTTATCGGTTATCGTGACACCAATTTTAATTTTGGAAACGGTGATCTCCAAATGATTGTTCACTTTACGTATTCTCTGACGAATCGGATAAAAAAAACGAATGAACGCCACTAATAAAGAAGATATGAGTTTACGGGGATATTCTTTTTTTATTTTTTATATTATTTTCTATTATTTCTTTTTCATAAAAATAAATGGTTTGATACATGAACAATGTTATCAAAACATAGAAAATGCGGGATCTTCTCTTCATATAAAAAGTTTTCAAAAGATTTTTTTATTTTTTATATAAAATAAAGCTAACAATATATATTTTAACATAGTCCAAAAAAATAAACCGAAAAAACACATAGATCATCTTTTCTTTCAATTGTCACTGTATTTATATAAATGTTGTGTTCTAAGCATCATTGTCAAAATTCCATATCGATATTAGATCAGTTAAATAAAATACTTTTTATTATTTTACCATAAAAGGTACATTAACAAAGAATTGCGCGATTAAGAATGAAAAAATAAGAAATGGAAATAAAATAATGTTGACTAAAAGGGGAGTTTTCAAAGAAAGAAAACAATATTTGTGTTCTGTTCTTTTGTAATTTGTGGTTTTTAAAAGCTATTGAGAAAAGAATTCCTCATTTACGTATCTTGTTTTTTGCCATTTCTTTCCACAACAAACTCTCTAATCGAATCCATGGCATATTCTTTAACTGTCTATTCATGAAAATGGAAATGCTAATTATGAGTCAAATCACTTTGTCGTGGTTCTCAGA